TTTACTTATTTAAGTATATAAAGTTAAACTAAATCAAAATAAAAAAAATCTTGACTTGGCCACTAGCTGAAATAAATTTTTAAAAAAAGTTTAATTTTTGTTGTACTTGTTGTGTATTTTATTTTAGTTAACGTTTATTTATTTATAAGTAAATGTTTTTTATGGATTTAGTTAGCTTTAGTCAACTATAATAATCCTGATACAAATCAGCTGCAGTTGCTTGAAAGCCTGCAATGTAATGTTTATCCACAAGATGGCAAACACGCAATAAAATTATCTCTGTAAAACACAGATGGCAGTGATCCTCAAATCTGGCTCGCAAGAGCCACTTTCCTGCAGAGTTTAGCTCCAACCCTATAATCAAACAAAAAACCTACCTGTGATTTTCTAATGATCCTGAAGACATTGATTAGCAAACTCAGGTGTGTTTGATTAGGGTAGAGCTAAACTCTGCAGGAAAGTGGATCTCGCGAGCCAGATTTGAGGATCACTGGTCTATGGTATGGTAGGACATAATAATTGCACTAACTTTGTTATTTACTCCATCTATTGTTTGTATAGTCTGTATTTATTTCCCCCGCTTGTCTTTATTGTCACTTTGCTATATTTCTTATGTTGTAACTAGTTGTAACATGATGTTTCTTAAAGGGATAGTTCACCCCAAATGAAAACTCATAATTTTCTTCCCCTCGAAGCCATTTTATATGTGCGGCCTATGACTTTCTTTGACACAAACAAAGATTTTTTGTAAATATTTTGGCTCTGTAGGTCCATACAATGCAAGAAGTGACCAGAATTTGTAGTTTCATGTAAAAGCACCATAAAAGTAATCCATATGATTCCTGTGATTTAAAATAAATGCCTTCTGAAGCGATATAATCAGTTTTAGGTGAGATCAAACCCATTTTATTTATTTATTTTAGCATAAGATCTCTTTGATGATCATGATTGCAAGCTTGGGATTAGAACATTGCAGTTACGTTGCCAATAACTAAAAATTACCAAAATATTACTAATTTAATATAGGAATAGAACGTACTTGGGAACATTAGGATATTGTTGTGAGTTGTTAACTTGATTGTAATTTGAACTTTTGCAACATAGCAATTTCATTGCCAGTTAAGCCCCACTCACACCAAGGATAATCACTATAAAGATAACTATAACGATAACTACAGTGCACAGCATCTGATTAAATATAAAAGATGTATTTTCTTAATGATCACTAATATAATTCATAGAAAGATGGCAAAATTGAAATTTATTAAACATATTCTTAATAAAAACAGAGAAATACATGCCATTAATATCTGTAAAATAAGAAACTTGGCCAATTTTTGTTTAAATGAAGGATTGCAGAATTGAGTACAACCTAGATTTAATTCAACCAAGTGTAATATTCTAGAACTTAATATGTCCTCCATAACTCTAAGTACACTGCTCTGACACTTCTTGTGTGTGAATTCATGACAGCATTGATAAAGCACAACTCCCTCACACCTTCAGCTCTCATACATCCCTATAGAAGAGCTTTACTACCACTGAACGTCACTGTGGGAACCAGGCACTTCTCTCTGTACTCCTCCTCTAGCAACACCAGAACATTTTGGATGCTGTTAGATCTGAAATGATTGAACTGGTCTCATGAGACCAGAGTATGAAGTCTATATTTTGTAAATATGGGCCTTGGAAAAAGCTAAATGATTTTATTGTGCTTTGGCTACAGTCGGTAGTTCTGGTGTGGATAAACAACCATGCATGCCACTTTTGCATGCTGCATCTTACTCTGTGAGATAAAGTGTCACTCTTTTCACAGCTTTTGCCGGCTCTGAGACACTTTCACAGTGTTTCTCCTGCTCTTTTTCTAGCAAAAACTCACTCATCACTAAATGAAAGCTTAAAGTGAAGACCTGATTATTTCAGGGGCCTTTTCACAAGTCCATTGTTTTTGAATTCCTGAGTTACTTTGGCTATATTTTCAAACTTAAAACAATAATTTGGTATTCCTCTTGTACCATTGTCCTCTTTTATGCTAAGAAATAAATCTCCTGACAGTTCTCTCTCAAGTGGTTTCATTGTTGTCAGCATTAAGTCCGAGTATGATTCAGTGGGCCATATAACACTTAATTATCAAGAAATTACTTACCTTTAACAGTTTTGGTTCAACATACTTGCCTGTTGATCAATACTTGCCTTAACCTTACACCAGACTTTTAGTTTTATTTAGTAACTTTCAGGAGGGTGTACTCATTTTTGCAACACAACATTTTATCACTTTGATAAGAAAATTGTATTTTCTTGAATAATTTTAACATTCTTCTTTGGTAACTGATCAAGCAGACTTGCTGGAATATATATCTCTAAAAAACCATAACATGTCTTCTAAGCAAAGAGTAATTGCTGAATTTGTTAAGTTTCAGAGGGGGTGTACTCATTTATGCTGTGCACTGTATATTAATGTTCACACTAACACACAACAACGTTCTGTTTATTATAAGCACACACTGCAGTTGTGTCATCCTCCTCAAGCTAAGCAGGATGGATTCCGATTGGCTGTCTTTATCCTTCCGGGTTAGTTGTGGTGTGGATTCAACTATTCTTTTTTAAAGATTTTTAAAACTATACTGTATTATTATAGTTATTGCCCTTGCTGTGAATGATCCTCTAGTAAGTAATCAAATGACCAAAAAGTATGAATAAATTATGTAGCTGGTATGTCATGTGTAAACTGGAAAGTAATATCAAATTAAGCATTATTGTACTAATCAAGCAAAAGGTTGTCATCTTTATATTTTGTTCTTGCATGTTACAGTGGTCTCACTGTGAGGCTTGTACTTTCACAACAAGTTCCATCTGAACTCGGGACCATTCTCACATGATACACTCGGCCATCCCCAGCCCCTCCATCATATACTCTCAGTTCAACAGTCAGTAGGTTCAAGTGAACTTTTCCACATTTAACCTGCTTAAAAAGCAAAAAAAAAAATCTCCTTCTTACAGATTTACAACAATACATCCTCCTCAAGCTAAGCAGGATGGATTCCGATTGGCTGTCTTTATCCTTCCGGGTTAGTTGTGGTGTGGATTCAACTATTCTTTTTTAAAGATTTTTAAAACTATACTGTATTATTATAGTTATTGCCCTTGCTGTGAATGATCCTCTAGTAAGTAATCAAATGACCAAAAAGTATGAATAAATTATGTAGCTGGTATGTCATGTGTAAACTGGAAAGTAATATCAAATTAAGCATTATTGTACTAATCAAGCAAAAGGTTGTCATCTTTATATTTTGTTCTTGCATGTTACAGTGGTCTCATTGTGAGGCTTGTACTTTCACAACAAGTTCCATCTGAACTCGGGACCATTCTCACATGATACACTCGGCCATCCCCAGCCCCTCCATCATATACTCTCAGTTCAACAGTCAGTAGGTTCAAGTGAACTTTTCCACATTTAACCTGCTTAAAAAGCAAAAAAAAAAAAAACTCCTTACAGATTTACAACAATACAAACAGCACAAGACAGTGATTGCTGAATAACTGTCAATAACGGTCAATCAAATATTTATTGTTACAATAGTAGACACACATCAGGTCGCTTATCCTAGAGAATTGATTTGAAGACTATGCGATGACTGAATAAGAACCATTCTCCATTGTTCTGAAACAGGGCCCCATACACTGCTTTACTGATTGCATCACACTGCCTTCATTAAGTGCTCCCCACCCTTATCCCAATACTGTTGTTTCATAACAAACATCCCCTGAACCTCCGCATGGCCATGCAAGAGTAGAAATCAATTTAAAGAATTCAACCTAGTCACTAAAGACTTATCTCAGTGTTTGTGTGCTTTTATGCAAGTGTAGCTGGTTCCAAGGTCCATTTAAGACATGATCTGTTTGTACAGCTGTGCAAGGAGCAAGCTGTCGTTTTGTGTGAGAGGACGCCACTGACTGCTGCATCTCATGTTTAAATCAGGGACAGTAACATGCATGACTCATAAACCAAATAATAGAATATTAGGTTCCTTTTGCAGCATGACAAAAAGATGTGTCCTATAATAATCATGTGCATTTTAATAATAATCTCTAGTATCTTAAAGGAATACTTTGACCAAAAATGAAAATTTGCTGAAAAATTACCGACCCTCAAGCCATCCAAGATGTATTTGAGTTTGTTTTATTATCAGAACAGATTTGGAGAATGTAGCATTACATTACAGTGAATGGGTGCCATCAGAATGAGAGTCCAAACAGCTAATGAAAACATCACAATAATCCACAGGTAATCCACACGACTCAAATCCATCAATTAAACATCCTGTGACATGAAAAGCTGTATGTTTGTAAGAAAGAAATCCATCAAGGCATTTTAAATTAAAAACCTTTGACCAAAATACCAGTTCATAATCCACAACACTTCCTCCAGTGAAAACATCCATCTCCTGTTGTCCCCTCACATCAAAATCTCCTGACATATTTGTTTAGTATGGTTTAGACTGTTCAGAACGGTTCGCTCAGATTTAGACGAGATGACTTTTTCACTGGAGAAAAAGCAGTGTTATGGGTAATTTAGCAGGTGTTTTAACTCTCATTGTGACGGCACCCATTCACTGCAGAGAATCAATTAGTGAGCAAGTGATGTAATGCTAAAATTCTCCAAATCCGTTCCAATGAATGAACTCATCTACATCTTGGATGGCCTGAGGGTGAACTATTTCTTTCAAATGAGAATCAAACAATAACAGAGTATGTAAAGCAGAAAAAAGAGAAATGCTGGTTTGAAAATATAATTATTATATATATTTAAAATAATCCATGTTTTTTTTTTTTTTTTAAGTTTACAATGCCAAAATTGTTCTCACTGTTGAACATGTATGCCTGCAATGGTTGGCAAAAGTGTATGATAGTTTTGTTTAAAAAAACACACTAATACAACATGAATTTGCATATTCTGAAAAATAAACATCTCCTATTAATATGCATTGATATGCCTTCATTTGTAAATATGTAAAGTGACCTTTAATATCTATCTATCTAGCAATAAATAAGAACCAACATACATAATGTGGATAAAGTTGCATTGAGTTTTTATATATCAGGTTTAAAGAACACAGCATGGAATCTAATGCTGTTGGGTTTAACAAACATATCTCTCTGAGACATACATCTGCAATAAGCAGATTTGAAATAGTCCAGACAATTCCCCAAATATGACACATTTCCTGCAACAATCAGCTATGAGCAAGTTGGACGTGTGCAACTCATGCAATATAATATCCTTCTTGATCTAAACCGTTGATTCCATCTCCGTATGTACAGTATCCTCCACTTCTTTCCGATCAGCCCATCCTACAGTGTGCCTGCAGGGCTTTTCTTTACTCTTGGTCAACTCCAACTCTGGCTTAGCCCTTTTAGTCGGATTACAACATAGCTTGGGTTTGCATTGACTTCGACAGGAAAGCTCACACTGGGAGTCACCAGATCCTTCAGAAATGGGAGAAAATTCTGGCTGAACAGTAGTAGCATGGATGCCTTCATCATGGAAGAAGTCTTTAATGCGTTTGGCTATGTCCATGTAAGAAGCTGGATCCGTGCATTTGATGTGAGCGGTTGCAATAATGCGAGACCCAGCCAGCTGCCAGATATGCAGGTCATGAACGGCCATAACTCCATCCAAGCTCCTTAGTTTCCCATTCAGCTTGTGCATATCGATTTGTTTGGGTACTGTTTGTAGGAGAATCAGAGCCGACTCCTTTAGGAGAGGGAAAGTTGTGTAGAGCAAAATACACACCAATATTAGACATAAGGTTGGGTCCAGGTAAAGCACCCAGCATGGTCCGGCCACAGAGACAGTTCTGTTCTGACAGTTGGATATGCTCAGGACTGTGGTATCAACATGTTGGTGTTCAGTCAAGTGGCTGCTACGGCAGGGGTTGAAGCAGACTGTGTTACTGTGGCATGGCGTCCACACAAAAGTGAAGATCAAGGCGTTGACTACCACAATGACGGACCCTAACGCGTCACCGAGCGCGTGCAGGAACACCCCACGCATGTTCATCTGGGAGGTCGACCCAGAACTGTGATCCAAGTCCTCCAATGAGCCCTTAGCAGTGATTTTGATGTTTAGGCTGTCTGAACAAGTCCACAAAATTAGCAAAAAAACAAAGATAAAGAAAACATTGTTTTCAATTATACATGTTTTTCATTATGTTATGTGCATACATTTTTAAAAAAAAATTTTTTTTATAAATACTAATGTCACTAATACTAATATTTCTGGACTAAAAGATAACTAAAAAATAACTAGAAGATATTTACCACAGAAAATTGCATTGACTTTTAAGACACCGTTCCACACTTGAATTTTAATTTCTATGGTTTTCACATTCCTTTTCTGGTTGTGTGAGGACTGGATACCAATTTCTAGCTGATGAAATACTAACTACAAAATAACTAAAAAAAAAAAAAATGGTGTTGACTACAAACATTTCCATTACCTTTTTAAGATTTTATTAATTTTGATGACTTTCACTGATCACACTTTCACTGATATTCCATGACTTTTTAGACAGGGTTCCAACACTTTCTGAAATTTCTTTCAGAAATTACTTTCCATTTCCATTTCCATACTTTCCATTTCCATTACTTTCCACGACTGAGGTGCCCTTGAGTAAGGCACCGAAACCCCAATATAAAAAATATTAATATATAAAAGCAAATATTTGGATAAAAGTGTCTGCTAAATGACTAAATGTAAATTAATATTAGTTACAAATAAAAAAATGTAATTTAATTTCCATACCTGATTTCAGCTCAGAAGTTTGGTATCCTTGAGAACTGTTGCTGTTTATCATGAGATTGTATGCTTCTTCATGTGCCTTTGGTTTTTCAAACTCTCTGCGATTTGTCTGGTGAAGATGAGAGTGACCACCATGAGAGTGTGTGTGTGCACTTTGGATGGGATAAATGCAGAGCACTAATTCTGAGTATGGGTCACCATACTTGGCCACATGTCATGTCACTTTACTTTTCCAGTCGTGTGAAAACTGGATACCAATTTCTAGCTACAAAATAGCTAGAAAAAAATGTTGACTATAGACATTTCCTTTACCTTTTAAGGATTTTATTTATTTTATTTTTTAAAGATTTTTGACATTCCCTGATATTTCAAGGTTTTCCAGGACTGTGGGAACAGGACTTTTTTTAATGTAATTTTAAGAATTTCCATGTTTTTTTTGTCCTAGGTGTAAAAATAACAATTTTACAATATTTCCAGTTGTTCCAAGACGTCCGTGGAACAGGAAAAGACCGAGTACATTCACCAGGAGACCAGCAACGCCAACCCAAATGACCACGCGTGGATTCTCGATCTCGTGAGGCAGCGTGAAGCGCTCAGTGGCTTCTAACAGAATAGTGAAGCAGAGGGCCGTCAAAAACACGGCGTTAACTAAAGCTCCCATCACTTCTGCGCGGATCCATCCATATGTGTTTTTACTTGTGGCACGAGTTGTCTCCGCAAAACTCACCGCGATAAAAGCCACTACCAAAGCTATTACATCCGAGAGCATGTGAAAAGAGTCTGACAACATTGCGAGAGACGCAGTTATCCTGCTTACTACAACTTCAACAATGAAAAACACAAGCGTTAAAGACAGCATACACAGCAAACGCACCCGATTCTGTCCCAAACCCATTTTGGACCGGCAAACTTCTCCACGCGGTCTGTGCGGGAACTAGTGATGTCCGGTTCGTGAACGAATCGTTCGATTTAACCTATAGTAAGAGGATTATGGTTTCTGCGCTGATGACAACTCATTTACTTACTTTATATCTTCAAGACTTAAATCCTCTGTGCACATCACTGCCTGTTACTGTATTTGGGTGCTTAGTTGCAAAACTTAATTGTAAACTTTTCAGATCATGATTATGATGTTTTAACTGACTGAAGTTATGATTACTGACTTTATATATTTGAATGTGTATTTTCATCCCGGCCCGGGACGATAGACTTGATATCATTACGTCATCGCGAATGACGTCATTACGTTAGGGCGTAAAAGAACCGATTAACCGTTTTTTTGAACCGGTTCATTGAAACGAACTGTCCGAAAGAACCGGTTCGCGGAAAAGAACCGGACTTCCCATCACTAGCGGGAACACGCAGTCCCACACGTCCCCATTGGCCGAATATCACTGAATGCTGGAGTCACATGGTCAGTGAGAACACATTCTGAAGCCGTTCAAACAATGTAGTAAATCATATCAATCAGTGCAAATGGATGGAAACTACTCCAAGGTGTGCACAGATTAGTTGGGACATTCTACCAGAAATGTACATTATCTGTCCTTGACTTGTTACAGTGAATAAAAAGTATTACAATTTGTCTGTGACAGGGCCTGACATTTTAGGGGTGAAATGCGTATAAAAATGTATTTTTCAATCATAAAAACATGCTGAGATGGCACGATATGTGTTTCATATAGATTAATATGTCCTCCATATGACTCAACGTTCAGATTTAAGAATAAGATATTTTTTTCACCCAAGATTTTTACAAGTGGAAATGTACGTTTCTGCTAGAATGTCCCAGTTACTGGTAATAAATAAAGATTATCATTAGCCTATACCCATAAACTTAATGATTGTAATTCTGAGTCACATTAGTATTATAACCAAGCCTGAAAGTTCAGTATAGTCCAGTAATATTAATCATGTTCTGTTCGAAATGACTATACTTTATTTCTTAATTTTTTACCTAAATTGATGGGAGACCCAAATACAGATAGATAGATAGATAGATAGATAGACAATAATGATGATACAAGCATTATCATATTGCATTTTTGTGACTGTATATTTTACAGCCCCCATCTGTATGTGTAATTAAATGATATGTATATGTTAATATTCCACCCTGTTTTATATTCAAGTCATGTGAGAATTTAATAGGTCAAAATATATGGTTATTAACATTAGGGTATAAACATTATAACATTATTAGGCTATAAAATTTTAATTAGTACATATACAGATGGGGACTGTCTGTCTGTCTGCCTATCTATCTATCTATACATAGCCTATACCATATACTCTCAAATAATATAGAATAACATTACAAAATTGTATTTAGCTACAAAAATGCTATGATAATGCTGGTATCATCATCATTGTGTGCGTGTGAATATACAATATATACTGTGTGTGTGTATATATATATATATATACACACACACACACACACAAACATACATAGCCTACTAGTATGTGTGTGTCTGTGAGGAACAATTAATTTATTTTTTTATGTTTTACTTATTATTAATATTATTTATTTTATTTAATTGTATTTTTTAGTATTATAGCATCATCATCGTTATATTTTTGGTAACGTTTCCCCCTGCACATATAAGTGTATTAATCTTTATAAATTATGTTTTTGAGCTATTAAAGGATTTTGACTTATCTCAAACCCTAAACAAACACAAAGGTTAGTCACATAACCTAATTTTTGACCATAATGAACTGTTTCAGCCATATACCATGTTTGTGCTCTATTGCTTTTAATAACTTAGTCACCAGTAATCTCATCATTGAATCGTTATAACCTACACACCGAATGCGTCAGCACCTCACGCAGAGAGAAAACATGCTAGTCTACCTATCAGCAGCGCGCTCTGGCTATTGTCTGTGAGGAGCAGGGCGTGTGCCGCCGGAGCAGAAGATGCGAGAAGCTCGGTGCATGGAGCGGAGTGCTATGATGGCGTTGGACCAAGATGTTCTGCTCTCCTGTTTTCATAGGGTGGACATACATTTGCCGCATTCAAATGCGTATGTGTAGGCTGCATGTGAATGTGCGTATTTCATTTATTCCTTCCTCGCATTCATATATAACATAGCAGAATATCAAAGACGTACAGGCTTTTTCATAAAAATGATGAAGAGAAATAGCCTATTGCGACCGCGATCCATGTCGATTGGCAAGAAATCAGAGGCGGTGAAGGTGGTGGTGCGTTGCCGCCCTTTAAACAAGTCTAATTTTTGACCATAATGAACTCGTTTAGCCATATATCACTTTTGTGCTGTATTACTTATAATAACTTAATGACCAATAATCTCATCATTGAATGATTATAACCTGCACACCGAATGCGTCAGCACCTCACGCAGAGAGAAAACATGCTAGTCTACCTATCAGCAGCGCGCTCCGTCTATTGTCTGTGAGGAGCAGGGCGTGTGCCGCCGGAGCAGGAGATGCGCGGGGCTCGGTGCATGAAGCGGAGTGTAACGATGGCGTTGGACCAAGATGTTCTGCGCTCCTGTTTTCATAGGATGGACATACATTTGCCGCATTCAAATGCGTATGTGTAGGTTGCATGTGAATGTGCGTATTGCATTTAATCCTTCCTCGCATTCATATATAACATAGCAGAATATTAAAGATGTACAGGCTTTTTCATAGAAATGATGAAGAGAAATAGCCTATTGCGACCGCGATCCATGTCGATTGGCAAGAAATCAGAGGCGGTGAAGGTGGTGGTGCGTTGCCGCCCTTTAAACAAGAAGGAAGAGGCAACGAATCAAGAAAGAATTGTTGAAGTAGATGTCAGACTGGGACAGGTGAGCGTGCGCAATCCCAAATCATCCGGAAGCCTCTTAAAATCATTCACGTTTGATGCGGTCTATGACGTAGGTTCGAAACAAAACGAGCTGTATAACTATGCATGCAAACCTCTTATTGACTCTGTTTTGCTCGGGTTCAACGGAACTATATTTGCTTATGGGCAAACTGGCACTGGCAAAACATATACAATGGAAGGTGTGCCCACAGACCCCGAGAGGCGGGGAGTCATCCCAAATTCATTTCAGCACATTTTCACTCACATATCCAGGTCTCAGAACCAACAGTATCTCGTGAGAGTGTCTTACATTGAAATATATCAAGAAGAGATACGAGACCTCCTCTGCAAGGACAACAATAAAAAACTGGAGCTCAAGGAAAATCCCGAGTTGGGTGTCTATGTCAAAGGTCTCTCATCTGTGGTGACCAAGAACATAAAGGAGATTGAGCATGTCATGAACTTGGGGAACCAATCAAGATCTGTCGGATTCACCAAAATGAATGAGCGTAGTTCAAGATCTCATGCGATTTTTGTCATAACTATTGAATGCAGCGAAATGGGCATTGATGGCGAAGACCACATTCGTGTTGGAAAGTTAAATATGGTGGATCTGGCCGGCAGTGAGCGGCAAAGCAAAACAGGCGTCGAGGGACAGAGGTTTAAAGAGGCTGCAAAGATAAACTTATCTCTTTCCGCTCTTGGAAATGTTATCTCGGCTTTGGTAGATGGGAAGAGTACCCATGTTCCCTATCGAGATTCCAAACTCACCCGGCTGTTACAGGACTCCCTTGGAGGCAACTCTAAAACTGTTATGGTGGCCACCGTTGGACCAGCTGCGTGCCACTACGATGAGACGCTCACCACACTGAGGTACGCCAACAGAGCGAAGAACATCAGGAACAAGCCAAAGATCAACGAGGACCCCAAAGACGCCCTGCTTCGTGAGTTCCAAGAGGAAATAGCCCGCCTGAAGGCACAGCTCGAGGAACGAGGGATGCTGGCAAAAGAAAGGAGGAGACGGAGGAGAAACAGTATGAGGATGAAGAGGAGTATGAGTAGCGGTGAGGTGGAAACTCCAAGAGATGGAGAGGTGGGGGTCGTTGAGACCGTTCAGGAGGAGAGTGTGGAGGACTATTGGTGGAAGCAGCAGATGGCCAAGACCTCTGCCAATTACAAGCCTGATATTAGCAGGAAACTTGGCACCGTAGACGAGAAAGCAAAGACTGTGGAAGAGTTGCTGAAGGAGCAACAAGCTATGGAAATTATGATCGAAAAATTCAAGGTTGGTTCTTTCCACAGTTTTTTTCTTCATGCAGATTATTCACTATATCATTCATAAATCACATCTTATACTTTGTGCCTTGCTTTTTGTAGGCCATGGAAAGTAATCTTCTGGTTGGAGGGAAAAGCATCATTGACCACACCAATGAACAGCAGAGAATGCTGGAACTGAAGAGGCAGGAGATTGCTGAGCAGGTGACTGTAGTACATAGCAACATAACAAAAATGTAAGAATCAGAATCTCATATGTGTGTGTGATAAATCCTTCTAGGATAGAATGGAAAGAGAGATGCAACAGCTGATGTTTGAACAAGATGAAGAGACGATTGAACTGAAAGAGACATTCACCACTCTACAGCAAGAGGTGGAATTTAAGACCAAGAAACTTAAAAAGGTACGTAAGATCACACACACACACACACACACATACTGGTGTCCATTTTTTGCGGGGACATTCCATATGCGTAATAGTTTTAATACTGTACAAAACTGTATTTTCTATCTCCTTACCTACCTCTAAACCTACCCCTCACAGGAAACTTTCTGCTATTTTAGATTTTAGATTCTGTATGATGTATAAGCTTGTTTCCTCTTGGGGACCAAAACACATGTCCCCACAAGGTCAAAATTTACTGGTATTATTATACTTGTGGGGACATTTGGGTCTCATAATGTAGGGAATATCAGGTACACACACACACACACACTACTCACTGTTTCTGAAACAGAAATAAATGTAAGTCTATAATCTAGCGCATTAGACTTGCGTATAAAGAATACTCAATTCTGATTAGTCAATTGTTGTGTCAAATATCTTT